TGACGGGATGCTTGGAGATTTTCACTTCCTCGGCCACCAGTTGCTGTGGTGTGAATATTAAACCCCATCTCAGGATGTCCACATTTTCTAAATCTATCCTATGCCCAGTGTCTAGTGCATGCCCTGTCATTGCTGAATCTTTGACTATCGCCTAGTATTCATCTACGTTTCTCGGTGGTCTGTTAGTGGAACGCTTATGCTCACCGATTCTGGTGTGAAATTCCCTGGCTGCCTGACCTATATAAACCTCCGTACAGTCGTTACATTTTATTTTGTGTACACAGTTCCTAGTCCTATCAATCGTAAGGCGATCCTTTTAATGAACCAACGCCGAGCGTAAGGTCTTTCTCTTCTGGGATGCTACTCTAATGTTAGCCGAATTCAATACCCTTTTAATGACTTCAGACGTCCCTGTTTTGTATGGAATGACCGCTGTTCCGATCCACTCGTTGTTGAGTCTCGGTGTTGGCACCAATACCCGTCTTAGTTGCTGCTTACTTAAACCCACTGGCTATCCGCCATCGTGATATAGCTTTTTTTTACCTCAAGTTGTGCTGCTCTTAGGTCAACCGCCTCTGTGCACAGTGCTCTCACTCTCCTAAACATCGTTGAAACTATACTAGCATATACTTCTGTCGTATGTACTGACGAGTAGTTTAAGATCGCGCCGCTCTGTTGATTTCCGGTAAACAGTGGTTTTTAATTTCCCATGCTAAACTTAATGTGAGGGTCCAAAGTGTTCAGATATTGAAAGATTTCGTTCACCTTATCCCGATTCATCACAACGAACGTGAAACCTGCGCAACGCCAGAAAACCCTTGGTGGGCACTCAAATCCGTTTAAAGCATTCTGCTCAAAGTCTTCAATGTACATGTTGGCAAAGATCGGGGATATTGATGAACCCATCGCTAGACCTTGTTCTTGAGAGTATACAGTCGAGTCGAAAACAAAATGGCTGAGGTTTAGGCATACATTTATACCTTAAAATATCTCGTCTACGGAGAGCTGCGTTCAATCTTGCAGCATTGTGTCTGTCGGTAAATGCCTTCTTGCTACTTCCACAGCGTCCGATTTAGGGACATTGATATACATCAATTTGACATCAAAGCTAACCAGAACTTCGTCTAGCTCTAACTGAAACTTAACTACTTTTTTAGCAAAGTCATACGAATCTTGAATGTGTGTGGCTGACTTGCCGGCAAGTGGTGGGGATACCTGCTAGAAATCTGGCCACCTCATATGGCCTACGTTTTACTCCATAGCATTCTACGGTTAAAATGGTTATATATATATATATATATATATAGTTTTTGACTGTTAAGCCTATAACACGGCTAGAAGTTGCGTCCTCCTACCTTTGTTCTATGGGACTAACTTAGGGATAGCTAGCCAAGTGCATTCGCCTTGAAGTCGTTTTATGAATGGCGTGGGGCAGCAGTCCAACGTTCGCACAACATAACACCATTTGATTCTCTCTCAGGTGATTTGACACTTATGCCTCATTATTTGAGCGTGCTGATATCTATATCAGTGGCCGACCATGTTCACCCTCCAGTTTTATTCCTTCGAATTTTCGCCCGGTACGGGGATTTCAGCTGGTTGCACAAGCAACTCAATGGAAGTGCGCGTGGTCTTAGCGATTGTATGCTGGGGTTCAACGATGTGGCTCAGAATAATAGGCAAATATGAAAACACATGTCAGAAGACCGTGTGTGAAGACTGGACAATATAAAGCCCTATGCGCCAATTTCACCGCTTCACATTCAGTCTTGAAATGTATTTGAGGAACGTTTCTTCGGTTATTGTCCGAAACGCCCTGTGGATTTTTACACATCGATTTGAGCTGCTCACAGTTGTAGAGTGGTATCCCTAAAAAAGCACATCATTGATGGAATAAGGCTGAGGGATTTTTTCAGAGGGTCTTTGTAAACATTCGGCGGGCAACGTTTCGCTTTTGACACAAAAGCTTCGTCAGGCCAAGTGAGTAAGTAGTGGGTTGATTGGGTTTTAAAGCAGCCATGGAAATAATCCGTGGGATTTCTTATCACTAGCCGACCTGATCAATGCTGGGTGTTCAGTCTGACGTTCCTGTTTATTGGTTGGTGGAGCTGACTAGCATTTACGATAGAGTAAGTAGGGTGGAGGAGTTGCCTTCATGTTGAAGCCGGATGTTTCGTCCTAGCTTTTTCAGTCTAGGACGTCTTAATGGAAAGTTCCTCATGGGGTCGCTCACAGATTTCGTTCACCTGTGTTCGTCACAGGGTGCCGGGACAATTGGTTTGGGCTTGGGGGTGGGGTGGTTAATTGGATCTAATTCTAATTGGATTTTGTACTTTCAGACCCAGACCATTTCGCTGATAACCGCACACCGTCATCTTGGCTGATCTCAGACAGCTCTCCACAAGTTTGCAAGTTCTACCCCCTCTATTCTATTTATGACGGGATGCTTGGAGATTTTCACTTCCTCGGCCACCAGTTGCTGTGGTGTGAATATTAAACCCCATCTCAGGATGTCCACATTTTCTAAATCTATCCTATGCCCAGTGTCTAGTGCATGCCCTGTCATTGCTGAATCTTTGACTATCGCCTAGTATTCATCTACGTTTCTCGGTGGTCTGTTAGTGGAACGCTTATGCTCACCGATTCTGGTGTGAAATTCCCTGGCTGCCTGACCTATATAAACCTCCGTACAGTCGTTACATTTTATTTTGTGTACACAGTTCCTAGTCCTATCAATCGTAAGGCGATCCTTTTAATGAACCAACGCCGAGCGTAAGGTCTTTCTCTTCTGGGATGCTACTCTAATGTTAGCCGAATTCAATACCCTTTTAATGACTTCAGACGTCCCTGTTTTGTATGGAATGACCGCTGTTCCGATCCACTCGTTGTTGAGTCTCGGTGTTGGCACCAATACCCGTCTTAGTTGCTGCTTACTTAAACCCACTGGCTATCCGCCATCGTGATATAGCTTTTTTTTACCTCAAGTTGTGCTGCTCTTAGGTCAACCGCCTCTGTGCACAGTGCTCTCACTCTCCTAAACATCGTTGAAACTATACTAGCATATACTTCTGTCGTATGTACTGACGAGTAGTTTAAGATCGCGCCGCTCTGTTGATTTCCGGTAAACAGTGGTTTTTAATTTCCCATGCTAAACTTAATGTGAGGGTCCAAAGTGTTCAGATATTGAAAGAATTCGTTCACCTTATCCCGATTCATCACAACGAACGTGAAACCTGCGCAACGCCAGAAAACCCTTGGTGGGCACTCAAATCCGTTTAAAGCATTCTGCTCAAAGTCTTCAATGTACATGTTGGCAAAGATCGGGGATATTGATGAACCCATCGCTAGACCTTGTTCTTGAGAGTATACAGTCGAGTCGAAAACAAAATGGCTGAGGTTTAGGCATACATTTATACCTTAAAATATCTCGTCTACGGAGAGCTGCGTTCAATCTTGCAGCATTGTGTCTGTCGGTAAATGCCTTCTTGCTACTTCCACAGCGTCCGATTTAGGGACATTGATATACATCAATTTGACATCAAAGCTAACCAGAACTTCGTCTAGCTCTAACTGAAACTTAACTACTTTTTTAGCAAAGTCATACGAATCTTGAATGTGTGTGGCTGACTTGCCGGCAAGTGGTGGGGATACCTGCTAGAAATCTGGCCACCTCATATGGCCTACGTTTTACTCCATAGCATTCTACGGTTAAAATGGTTATATATATATATATATATATATACTTATCATGAATCATTGGTGTCATCTGTTATATCCTTCAAGCTTTACTTGCAAATGGCAAGTAACACTGGAGATGTAAGTTTGCGGCCAATGATTTTGCCATCCCTAGGATGTCATCTTCGGACGGGGCAGCCATTAAAGAACAGGATAAACGTCGCTCAGTTCCCGATGGTTACGGGTGGACAAGCACGTACGCTAATGTTTCACAAAGCCTATTTAACTAAGATTCACGCGCAACCTGCGCCAGTCCATGTGTTCGTGGCTTCAGTGAAGTGATTGGACCACCTCTGATTGGCCCACGCGTCTTGTGGTCTTCCGTCGCGTCTCAGATAAGTTTTCCAAACATAGGTGAAGGTTGTCTCAGAGGCGAAATTTCGGAAATTTTGAGCTCCAATATTCAGCTGGCCATAGACCAGTTGATAGAAGATGCGCGCCTCGGACATTCGTTTCAAAGGATCTTACCAACGAATCTAAATTTCCATTAGACTGCATTCATTTCCACCAGTTTTTTAAAGGGTATTGTTTTACTGGGTGTCGGTTATTCCGTTTGATCTAAAGGATTGCTGTATGCCCTTTTTTGCCTTCCTAATTCACGTGTTTAGAAGCTCCACAAGATACGGTACATAAATTCTCCCAGTAACTGGTCTGTCTAGCTGAAATATATCTGTTGATACATGCTGGGTTTATAGATGGTGGACTGTTGACCTACATGATGAAGTCTTACTCTTGCAGAGCGAACGAATAGTTCCGATTTGATGCCGGTCCAATGGAAAGGTGCTGGTTTTTAACCTTGGAACACAGTGCTTCAACACGTATGTGGTTTCTCCTTTACGTGTTTTTTCCCAGCAGAGTTCTTTTCAAATCATTATATTATCGTCTATTGCCGGTATTTGCTGCTGATCTACGAATGTAGGTTCTCGTGATAAGGACGAGCAGGCATGTCAGGTATCTGCCATTCATAATGCTTAAATATTCGTCAGTCAGAAGCGAAATGTCATCGTTTTTGAGAAGGAAATTATCGGAGATTTCGACGTTATCATATAAATGCGCATTTCATCTGTCATAAATATTGTCGGCATGCGTTGCTACTAAGTGCTTTGCTAGAAGTTATCTGCGTTGTAGGTATTCATCATTAATGAGTAGGTAACTCAAATGCCTATGGAACCAGTTATTGACGGATCTTGTTTGGCCGGATAAAATGTTGTTGGTGCTTTTCAAAATCAAACACTGGTTCCGTAATTTCTTTCAACTTTCACCAGTGGACGTGCAATTCCAATGGAACTTGGTCCCACTGTGGTAATAACGGCAAACTCACCGGCTGCTCCGTCCACACCCATCACTATTCGGACCATTCCGCAGGACGCATCGACCATCGGGGGACAGTCCACATTGAAAGCTAATTCTATGTTGAGCTCATGTCAACTACTTGGGCACGTAACGTGGGGAAATCGATCTCCTGGTCACCAAACAAGAGTTCCTCTCCAAAATTGCTATCCAGTTTCCGTTAGTTCCACGCCATCACCTATCATTGTCCAAAGAAGTCCGCAAATGTGCCATCCCCAACAATCGAGTATGGATACAGCGCTCAGGAATTCATCTACACAAGCTCTCTGGTAAGTAGATGAACCGTTTCTAGAGTGACTCACAACTACTGCATAACAATATGTTATGGCATGCAAATGCCAAATGGCAAATGGTAAATGGTTTTCACAAGTTCTCACAGCTTGATTACTAGATAACCAACTGATGTTGCAACTGATTTACAAATAGGATCGGCATCGTAAAGGAATTGCAACCACCCAAAGATAATGATATGGCCTTATCTCTGCGTTTAAATTCCTTTGTCCTGGGTTATAGTGTAATCCTATTCTGCAGAATCTCCAGAAAATTTACCAAAAATATTACATCATTAACTTCTTTAAGAATTTTGACTTACTTCGTGATTTCCTTAACAAAATCAGGTATCATCATTCGCATGCAATAACATGCTTTGTGATGGCCTGCCTATATTTTACAAAGCTGCATTGAACACGGTATGCTACCGCTATTTATTCGAGCCCCATCTGTAAGAATTCGCATATCCGCGAGAAAAGCCGTATGGAGAGCGGATCCAGTTCTGGGCTGTCAAAGAGCTTTCAGCAGACTATTGAATAGTGTTCCTTCGGATGCAGCTTTATTTGGGTGCGTCACAATGCATTCTGATTGGTGTGATCCTGAGATCATTTGGAAATCAGGGGCGAGGAACATGTGTTTGTGTGTGCTAGCTGTGCGCGCGTGTAACCATGAATGTGCATTTTAGCTGCGATGTACCTCCGTCTCTTGTTGTTCCGACTGCTGGAAAACAGAAAGCGAGGACTCGTAATATAAATATTTGCCGGTGTATCAGGCACACGTCAAGAGCCTTCCTTGATAGTCTGGTGAGCACTCCGGTTGTAGAAAATTGTGTGCGAAAACTGGGAGCGAAGGACGAACTAATTTTCTTGGACTGTAGGTGATGTGTTGGCACCAACCATGGATAACAAGTGAGAATTCGTAGGAAATCTTTACATTCAGACAGATACCTGCATTGCGAGTCCTCGCATTCACAATACGTCAAAGGTGCAGTTGTAGTATCTTTAGAGAATCAGATCAAAAAATTATCCTCTAATCATTCCAGATAGTCTGAAGAACTGAAAAAACTCAGCAGTGTAATGCAGAAAAGTAAATATCTCATAGGGTTTATTAAACAACACGTGGGGAGAATGCTACCTAAAACGTTGACACAAGGAGACGAAAATCTGATGGTCACCCAGGAAATACCCTGTTGAGATGCTATTTCCGACGCTATCCGAAAAATGCTTTGTGATTGTGATATGATGTTCTTCCGAGGTGATGATGTCTTACATGAACACCCTGTGAAAATGCGGGACTCTTTAGAACCAAAATTGTGCATACCAACTGCTCTGTTCAGATTGTCCAGCCAAATACGTAGCAGGCATCCAAGTAACTCCATGTGCGAGTCACGGAACACAGATGGTTTGTATGCTTTCTCCACGAAATCCAACTGAGCTTAAAAGACTTGAATCCGGTCGAGCCAATGTACTCGATCCTTCCGAGTGACACCATCAAATCAACCTCAATGACAAGTCGGTACTCCATTGAACATTCAAGTCGCACATGCGCGGATGCATTATATTTCAACGCACATCCAAACTACGTTAAGAGTAGACTATCTAGAATACCTCATTGACATGGTGGCCAGAATTCAAGCAGGAATCTCAACAATGACGCATGCCTGCCTACTCAACATAAACCGGAGGAACTCTCAGGCAAAGTGTACACATATTCACGCGTACAGACACAGAGCTAGAACATGTACGCGTTTCTCACTTTTGACTGCCAACCAAGCAATGTAACTCATAGATCAGAATATATGATGAGGAACCAAAGTAAGGATGATCCGCAATCAACTGAATGTAAAGTTGCTTGGAAAGAGACTGCCACGGCACCTGAAACGTTTAGGGTTTTCTTCCACCGCGATGTGTGTTTTCCAGTCCAATTTGTTGAATAGAGTTGAAGTCGAGTTTGGCTCGAGAAATTATAGTTTTGAGCGTTTTCATCCTAGGTCCCTAACACACTCAGTGCTGTTGAAACTCACACTAGTCCAAAAGACTGATAGAATCATTCTCTTCAGTGGTATCGTCAATGAGGGCTGGACGGTTTTGCTTGAAGTCTCTTTTGAATACTGTGCACATACCTGCAAACAGTTATTCTGATGATAAATTTGACTCTCGAATTGACATGGAAGCATTTCATTTCCCCCTAATGCTCCACTTGACGTTTAAAAATACGTGGCAAGTGCTTTTTGTAATTATGTACCATGCGACACACCTACCTTACTTTACCCTAATGGATACAGTTATTTAAGTATTCCGACCCGCTTAGGACTAATGCATCTTAGACGCAAAGTTTCGTCAAAAAAGTCGTTCGTTACTCGCTAAAGCGTTCGTTGTAACGAAAGCCAAATCTTGATTTTAATGACTGAATTTCGATAATTCTCGGAAGTAACCGTTATAGTTTATAAGGCCAGTCTTGTCCAACACAGCAAGTAAAGTTAATTTGGTGGTCATGCACGAGAACCACATTCTATACGGGAGTGTTGCTGAGGTTTAACAATAAACTGCATCTGTTTCCCTTTCTTACTCTCCCTACATTTATAATCTTCGATCAAAGTGAATAATCTCATCTGTTGCTAAACGTGGCCAGGCCTTCTCAGCACTACGTAAAAAAAACTCGAGTTAAATGTCAACACAATTGCATGAATAATTAACATGACAAGACCACTTCTACATTTCTTTTGTATGTATACCGGGCCGTACATTTGTTGTTTACAAGCACAGTCTGGCAGTAAATTGATGAAACCGTGTGATAATCCATCCCAACCCCTATGTAGTACTTCACTGGTTACTTCAAACTCGCCTTCCTGGGATCAATAGAAGCAACAATCAACACATCAAAACTTGTATATGTATAACAAGACCGGAAGTGGGGAATTTCACTATGGTTATGGTTGTTCTTCCAAGATGGTCTACGCACATCTCCCCTAGTACAAGATCAAGCTTAGGAGCGATAACTGGCCCATTTCGAAGAAATTACGCAATTCGGGTGAGGTCATTCGAATAAGGTTTCGTCACTAGCGAATATACACTCATCTGCAAACTAATTTGGTTCTTTCGAGAGACTCATCTTGAACCAAGCTGAATCTCTCGTTTATGATGTTCTCAGGGCGAAACCGGGGGCTAGCTGACACCTCTGCATTTTATGGGTACCAGATAGAAAGCTGAATGAAACGCCTAGGTAACTCGGTTTGTTTCGGAAAAAGGCCAGATCAACTAAATTTCGTAAACGTGTGAGAAAGACTGTGGACTAGAATGGGGTCTACGAATGACTTTGTCGTCCACATACTTGCAGAATTGTATGAAGGGGGCGCAGGCATGGCAAAAGACCAAAAATTGAAAACAGCTGGAAAGACGAGGTGTGCAAGTTAATGTGGGATGGATTCAAAGCAACTCATTCAATGTGAGCGTGTTTGGGTAAATGTTATGGGCAAAATCACTGATTTGCCCAGAAATGTGTTTGTCCATCGGCAACACTGGAAGAAAGACGACTTCCCTAAACATAACATCTTACGAGAACAAGCATAAATTAGCGAATATACACTCATTTGCAAACTAATTTGGTTCTTTCGAGAGACTCACCTCGAACCCAGCTGAATATCTCATTTATGGTGTTCTCAGGGCGAAACCGGTCGTGGGCTGTCGATGGATTTTCAGCAACCTTATGAGTAGTACATTACAAAGGTTTCGTCATTTTTGCGCCAGATTCTTCCAGGATGATTAGCGTTGATTGCGAGTTTGCAGTGGGCGACTGTCATGCCGCACCTTTATCTTTACTGGACTAGGACAAGGATACTGTATAATATCCTCACCTGATTCCACTACACAATCGTCGTGCGTAAAACAAAAGTACCTGCCACCGGTATGGAACTAGAACCTTTGAACAATTTCACAACGTGTACGACGAAATGGTATATTAGAAGGTTTGACTGACATCATTTGTTTCGTCACCCACCTATTTACTGATGACAATATACTCGTGCTGGGTACTTTTTGCCCGTTCACAACGCGACCCCCGATATCCGAGTAAACATGCAACTTGACCGACACCAAGCAACTGGCTGGTCACCAGAGTCAGCCATGCTTTTAACTGTGGGTTCGCACCTAAGACAAAGAAGCATGTTCTACTGTACCAGGTCTCAAAGTTCAACTCTGGTTTACAGTTTTAAAAATTTGGAATCATTTTCTGGTAACGTCAACAGTAACTTTACTGCGCCTTGGCCATTTAGTGAGAAGTCAGTTTGAAAATACGCATTGTTAAGAAACACGGATTGGTCCTTAGACGGATCAAACTCCAACTCAGTTGGTGATTTTGAATGCTATCCGTTCGCTCTTTGTGTAATTCGGCAGCTTCTCAGCCGTACTATCCTAGAAAGAGTAAATGAACGTTGCTTTGGTACTCCATGGAAGCTGATTTCAGCACTGATTTCGAACACTGGTAGGACAGCCGGTTAACTACGCACTGATTATGTTTTCTCGATTGGGAACGAAACATGTGCAACCTCATTGCCAAGCGCAGCCAACGGATCACCAGCCTCCTGGTCAAACATGAGTAAAGATTGAGTTGACTGGATGTTTAGAACTCTGTAATGAGTCCGCAAATTTGCAATGTAATTGACTCTACCCATCTGGTGAACTATCGCGACGGACACTGGACAAACATGGTGCGAAAGGTCTTGCATGGTATTATGTCCACGTCCACCGAATTTCCGACCCATTGTTTCAACCATATCTCAAAGATTTGTTTCGTTTCTCCTAGCAAGCATCTGCCCTGCTCTACGGAATTAAACGGTAAAAATTAGGGTCCTGTGATGTCATTCCTTGTTGTATCGTGGTTGACCGTCTATTGGTTACGCCTAAACTGAGCCCGCCAGACTACGCAGCAAGGAGTAGACAGAGAACCCAGGACACGGTTGTATTGTCAGGGCGAACAAACAAAGCTGCTGCAAAAATATATAGGATGGCCAAATAGCCAATTATGGTCATTCGTTCTCTCCAGCCAATGGCGACGTTTCTGCCTCGAGCAATTTCACACCCACTCCAGTAGTCGTTTTCTGTTAAGCTGTGTTTAATGAGCTTCACCAACGCACCTGATGTCTGGAACATATGGTGCCGATTGTGACCTTGTGGCTGTTCTCCGCGGATGTACTTTTCATTTCAGGACGATACACTGCAACCGCTGATGTCAAACTCCCTCCAAAACAACTGCATGGGCTTCTCACATATCCTTAACATATGGTCTCAATACAGGGTAGACATGGTAACTTCTGCTGACTGCCTTCTGTGCGTACGAAAACATTGCTCTATAGTTGAAGTACTTCCCGATTAGCGTCCTACAAATAAGCCTGCTTAATTGTTGCCACTGGAATCAGTGCAGCTTGATCTTATGACATGCAACAGACGTATGCCGGCGGTCAAATTTATGTTACTAGATTGGTCTGCCAATCATGTTGTCTGGTGTTTCGTCTACATTTGTGATAACATTTACGTAAGTGCAAACAAACAATAGCGAAATAGCGGTTGTCCGGACGAAATTCTCGACCTTAAACCAGACAGCGCATCGGTATTCAAACCCAAGGGGAAGTTATCAAACACCAGATATTTAAGCAAGCTGAAGAAATTATGGCGCACTACTGTTTATTACGGGCTATACCCCACTGACTAGTTTTCCCAAGCACAGTAGAGAGGAATGAGTTACATAGTTTTCGTTGGTCTCATTGTGCATTGGGCTCGGTTACAGACGTTACAGTATAACGCCGTGAATAGCGGTCAGTGGCATTCGTACTATCAGATTCCATGAGGATAGTCTGACCAGGGGTTGTAAGTTTATCATGCTGAATTCAGCAGCTGCAGTCAATTTTTCTAGTATCTGACATTTTATAATGATAGTTTATCGATTCTACTAAACCGTATCGTATCGATAGTCTTCTGATGACCAGTCTGATGCGTTTGGCAATCCGAACTGCCATTTGTATCCGGAATCCAAATTACTATGTGAGTCCAATAGGAATGCGAGAAGAAAGTTTGCTTATGAGATCCACCATGAACAGGTTGTGAATCAGTTAGCATTTGTGCGTAAGTCTTGTAGCTTGTGATTCTTCAATGAAACAAGCTGATTCTGACCGATAAATTTCATCTACTGCTCTTTGCACATCGGCCCTCAAAGCAACATTGCTTTTCACAGCCGGTAAGCAAGCATTTTTTAGAGTTCACTGAACATGTGAATTTGAAACAGCTCGGTGCAGAAAAAGTCACTACCCTCTATGTAAGACGTAGTTGCAACATATTCCCTAATAAACACCTGAAAATGCGTTGATGTTTTTAAGCTGATTCTTGGGACATCCAGAACATGAAGACTTTAAACTTCCGGTGCTGTCATATAGTTGGCGTTTTCGAAATGTACGAGCTACTGGTAATTTAAGAACTATCCTGATGTTGGACGTCGGGTATCTCGGCGTTTCAGACGTATACTGTTACTTATAGCATCGTGAATGTCTAAAGATTGTTGTCGTGGGTGCATAAAGCAGCCGAAAATTCCCACAGGAGTTATTTTTTCTTCGTGATTATTGAATAATTTCGCATTATTTATCACCATTGTGCTTTCACCTGATGCAAACTTTATCATTGCTTCTATTTCTTACCACAGTACAACAGACAGCATCTCCGCAGTCTGTCCTTCCTCTGTCCTTCCACCTCCTCGCACCCCGGCTTCAACCCCCAATGCCAAACTAGATTGTGCTCTCCACAACCGTCTGCACTCCAACGGTCTAATGAATCACGGTACACTTACTCAGGAATTAGAAAATACAAAGTCCCAGCAAACTCCCCATAACCTGTTAACCACAAGTCCAAGCCAGATCAGTAGTATTCACACAAGAACTATATCTCTGATAATCACTGAGCACTCCTCAAGTCAATCCGCACTTGAAGAACAACCCCATAATTCGAGCATGTACACATCAAATCAAAAAGTGCAAAACAGCTTGGATGAGGACCCCCTGAGAACCGAGGACATTATAGCCAACAATCACCGGTGGAAACATCTAGGAGCTCAAAAGCGCCAAGGTAATATCAGTCCTACTGATCCTAACGGTGATCCTCCGACTGCATTGTCCATAGCAAGATCCTTGGAATCTCGCACTGAAAGAAGTTGTTCGCTTAGCCTCTTCAAAATTAAACGATTGAATAGCTGTCATAAATCGAACCGTCGGCAGTCCGATTCTTCATTGGGACTTCTTCAATCAAAATCGTCCCCGTTAAACTGTCCAGCTGTGACGGAACAGAATTTTTCAGTTTCGTCTGAACGACCAACCGCGGATACTAGACTCCCAGCCGAGAGTTTGGAATATACCCGGCATAACCCTTCTTCCTCCAACCAAAGACCAGGGACACAACAACACAGTCTCACAAGACAGTCGACCGGTGACTTTCCTCCGGAGATGAGTACTAACCAGCAGCTGCCCCTGGCCAGTGAACAAGTGGAGCTCCCACTTCAGTCTTCATTGTTCGGTCCAAGGGAAAATGCTTCATTGTCCAAAGAAAGAGCTTTGAATAAACATGGTGGCATGATTGAGCGTGAGGGGACCTCGGTTAGTGGGGAACCTGGTGTTGAACCAGTAAATCGACAGGAACTGCACGAAGATAGTTTGGCCTCATTGACCAACGACCCCAGATCACGAACTTGCTGTTTCTGTTGGTGTTGTTGTTGCTCTTGCTCGTGGTAAGCATATTCATCATGTTTCTGTTAAAAATTCACCCATTTATCTTCGTTGTCTTTTAACACAACTCTAAATGTGTTTTCAGTATTCATCGCACTGCTCCATATTTCTAAGTCTAGATGTCGGGCGGCTTGGTAGGAAACTCCAAAGAAAACGTCGCCTAAGATCTAGTTGTGAAGTTATTTTGACTGGTCACCCCCTGTGCCCACTTTTGTACTACTGAAAGTTAAAAACCTTCAAACACGAAATGGTTGACATTGTAATGGGTGGTAAATATTGTAATAATTCGGTCTAATTTATATCGCAGTAGATTATTGTCTCCTACGAATATCAAAGGTCAAAAAATTGTCAAATTCCGGAAGTGAAACTGATGGAGAAAAAACAGATTACGGGAAGCCAGTCGCCCCAACTGGACCAATTACCATCTGCTTCCAATCAGAAATCGATATCAGTCAGTGTTTTGACGGTTATTCTTTTTCCATGAATCAACCGCTTCTCTTGCTTTGCGTGCAAAAAGCGAAAAAGAATAGAGCACTGGGTAGGACTGATTTTGTCATGCAACCATAAAGGGATGTCACTTCGATCGTGTACACCGAAGCAAACGTCATCAGATTGGTCCGAACGAAGCCGTAGGTTCCAACGGGCACGAGTAAAATATCTGCTGTTCCGTCCAGGAATCAATCTCTAAACCGAACAGCTGATAATGTGAAGATATTGGTGCATTTCTAGCAGAACTACTGGCTACTAAACATATGCAAGAGGAACACGTTTCTTTCTATTCGGCTCCAAACAACGGTCAAACGTGTAGGTATGAAACGACCTATTGACCATAAGCTAACTGACGCACACCATCAGTCAGTTGAGTACGGAATTCTGATGGATTTCTAGCACAAAATTAGACCATTACACAATCGCGCGATCCCTATGGTAGCTAAACATTTTCGTCGACTTTCCATGTATATTCGGTGTTGCTGACATCAACACACTGTTAAACCTCAAGGGGGCTTAACTACCTTACGGTCATGAGCAAAGGGCTTTAGGAAGGTGTGCAAAGAAAAGAGCAAGTGTCAGGAATGTCGGATTCCTGCATCCAATCACAGAATGTCCGAAACCTACTGAAATTCTCAAAACACGACAAAATCGCAGCTGGGAAGCCGTCAGGAATCCGGGCCAGAAGAACCAGCTTCCTATTACACGCTTAAACACTCAATTAATCCAGCGGTGGCCGACGATGATGAGTTTTCACCCAATGCCGATCGGACAGTCAGGATTCAGGGTCAAAATTGAACTTTACATATCGCCATACCCCTTGTAATTTTCGCACTCGCTTGTTCGCGATAAAGCTCTCGTGCCCCTTGCTGGAAAGTCTTTCTTCGTCACTCATGGACTGCAGCGGGGTCAACAATTACCTACAACACACTGACGACTCCCTAATCTGCGCAAATGACGAGGCGTCGAAGAAAATTCTTCTGCAACATCAAAATCACTTCGAAGCTGGACAACTTTGATTGGTGGCAACCCACCCACCAAATTCCGCCCCAGATGCAAATTCTGTCGACTACATCACCTAGTTCCATTACGAGCCTCTTGCTGGTGCAATATGCGACTTGTGGTTCAAACGTTACGATGATATTTTTACCGTTGAACTGAACCACAAAGTTGATGATTGGTGGATGCGGTTACTGCTCAGGAAACACGATACGCCGGAACACACCCGTTATTCCAACTCCATTTTCCCAAAGAACACTCGAGATCTCAGCTTTGAGTAAACCGTAAAGCAACTCTCAACAGTTTTGAGTAGGCTTCCGCCCTTATGTCGTATTCACTATCAGTGTATGAGACCAGTAAAAAAGGATTTGGAAGGCTACATCCCTTTTGCCGCTAGAGCGAATCCTGAATGTGAACAAATCAAGTTACCTACCACGACGGAAGATCAGTTCAAGTGTCTCATTATTATGTGTGGCCTCCAGTCACATTCAGAAAATGATTTCGGAACAAGGTAGTTGAACAAGATTGAACAATCTTATGAAATATTGCAGCAGGTCATTTATCACGAGTGTCAGGGACTCTTGAATCTCAAGCAGGACACGGCCACTATCCAACCCTGCATCCAGTGTTACCGAGACAAATTCGAGGCAACCTCCCAGGTTAGCAAATTCAGATGGAGCAAAGCCCAAGTCGGCATGCCAGCCATGCGGCGAATAGAATCGCGTGTGATTGTGCCGCTATAAGACACAGTTATTCACTGTGGAGTTGACGTGGACACAGGGAAAGCCCTTGCCGGTCACGGGGATCTAGTCAAGCACCTAGCTAAATCTGGAGATCATGAAGCAAACGGTAGTAGTCAGAACCCCGGCTTAACACCGTACATACCACTTAGGATAACCAAGTTGATGCTCGTCAGAATATGTTACGATCAGAGCAAACAGAGGCACACTTCATTTGCGGCTCAATACGGCTCCCGATATTACGAATGTTTTCCATCGCACCTGCGGGAAGATTGGATCACTGAAATACAAACCGGCAACAAACACTGTCAGAAATGCACCAGGAGGTTCATTTGCTTGATAAATTTGACTGAGAGGTGAAGATAGCGGGTCATCTTAATCGTGATGTTGTCCACCTTGCTCCTTTTGAGCTTAACCTTTGGTTATAGAGTGGATTGTGTGCTGGCATCTCTCAATATTACCGATAGATAGCTCATGCACATCAACACCAACGGGAGAGAAACAAAAATTCTGGTCTGGAAACTGTGTCCTAGCAAGAGACTATCGTCCTGCACAACGAAAGTGCACTGTTGTATTCGTCCTCTGGAGGATCGGCCAAGTGATTTGTGGTGTCAGGGTCGGTCCATTGACATGAGAACAGCATTTCAATCAGCTGCGTCCGACTGAGTACCCGGTCCCAAAAGAGGAAGTACGGTCATTAGAACTCAACCCGTTGCATGAAAATTTCGACCGTTCAAGGGCACCCCCAACAGCCACTGCTTCATTCATACCGTCCACGTCGAACTCACTACTGCAACGAGACTCCGTACAGATCAAGTTAGAAAACAGGTGGAACCCCTTTCAACTTGATCCGCGCCGACAACCACGCCTTGAACGGCCAAAAGACGGTGTCAGGAAAAGCAGATGCCTGGAACTAATCACAGAAAATGCGAAACCTACTGAGATCCTCAAGCCCCGCCAAAATTTTATCGGGGAAGCCGTCAAGCATCCGGGCCATAAGAAAGAGCAATGACCGACGATGACGACCGTTCACCCAAATCCGATCAGATTCAGAATCAGACGTGCACTTTAAATATCGCGATGCCTCTTGGACGTTTTTCACTCGACTGCTCGCAATAAAGTTGTGGTGTTTCTTGTTGGTGAGGCACTGGAGCGGGGACAACAGCTTATTGCAACAGAAGGTTTAGGGGCTTGACGTGAAGGAACTTTAAAAAAGCGTACAAGAACAAGGTGCCTATATGTTTATAAAAGCTTGTGCGTTGTGTCGAAACAGGGTGTCATCAGCTCGACTGACTCAGCGTTCTCTGCGAAGCCCACCCGGCATAAGCCTAGCGAACAACAGGCAGTTCGCTCAGGCGAAGACGGCGTGCATTCCACCGAACTCGGTTGCTGGCATGTTCTTCAAGCTACCCAACCACTTCCAAACAGAATCACGTGGGCTCCAGCCAGGAACGTGTGAAGATCACAGAGTGTTAGGTTTGGCAGTAGGCTGTTTCATTTCACTCTGACATATCACAGACTTTCCGCCGCGAACCTTTCGCCAACAGTCACTTGGGACGGAAAATAACACTCTCATCGGTAAACGGTGATTGCGCCTACGTAACACATATCCTATCCAACTCGCCATGACAGATTTAATCTTCCGCTCCGAGGAATCGGATTCACTATCAAGTATTCGCTTACACACCACTCCCTTCTGCATCCGCCGCAGACAAGTAAGTTTTGCTATGCTAGACACCAACGACCAAACACTTGTAGGTACCTAAGTCTCCAGAATCGGACAAAAGTTGGTGAATGCTGCTCGCATAGTAACTTCATTTGTTAGAGTACGATCAGCTGCCAAAGTGAACCGATCAGCGAACTCAAGTTCTTCAATCTGAAGTTCCAAAGAAAGCATAAGATGATGGAAAATATTGAGGTAAGACTGTACTCTGAGGTGCAAAAAACATGCCGAAACATTGAATCACATCAGATATTCACTTTGTCAGGGAAAATCTGCACTCAACAACGGCGTGATCCTAATCAAAAAGGGTACTCCAAGGCGATCATCACTCAAGGACTGAATTGTCCAACCGGTAGTTAATAGTGCGGTGGTAATAGGGTCCCATCCCTTTGCGATTACTTTTTCACCCAGCAACAGGTCTAAATTTGCTATCGTCAACCCTCCAGCGTCAACATGCATGGTTCAATAGGTCAGGCCCGAGGCACAAGTCTCTTAGGTTTAATGAATACTATTTTACATTGTTGTTACTATATCAATGGGTAGCTGTTTCACTTGGTATTTATTTGGAGCCTATTGAAATGTTACATCAGTGATGATCTCGATGACTGGAAATGATTCTTTAACGTGAGTTGGGTTACAACGTAAACCCAGTTTCCTGTGGTTTGATCATCAAATCTGTACTTAAATGCTTCCCGTTTCTTCATTATGGACGCACTGAAATTATTGAAAGCTTAGAAATTTCCCATCTGTGTGTTCTCTCATAAATTAGTCAGGCATTTACTGCCATTTAGTGAAGCATATGACCACAAACTCAGGGAACTCAAAGCAACAGTCTAAGCTCTTGAAAATGCAGTAACCAATGGCATACAAACGAGATACCCGGTTTTTCCATACGTCAACTACCGAAGTTCGTGGATCGTTGTGCACCAATGCGGAATTTTACGCATTAGTAACTCTGACGTATCCGGTTTATCATAGTTTTTCTTCCTCGCAACGATTCGGATAGCAGCATAGAACGAGCCGCATCTGTCAACCGTCAACTGCATTTATCTCTGCCTATCAGTGGAACTTCTACTTACCAGCCGGTAATTAAGTTGTACTTACTGAGTGGGCGAAAATCTTGCTTGCTGATTAATTTCATGCCATACCTCACCTCAGTTTCCTCCGTTCGCCTAGCAGAAAACTGATTACGTCAATTACTATCAGAAAACGGTCCAAAAAGTTTAGCACTTTCAATAGCCATTTTAAGTGGCCTATCAGTTTGTAATGAACGAAAGATGACTTCCTAAAATCCAAACAGGTTATCTTCACCCTTGAATACCTAAAGAGTGTTGTTTTTATTTACTTACCTTCATTAGATTAGTTAACCTTAGCATCAGTATAGCATGTCGTAGTAAGTTCAAATGAGTTTTACCTTTTTTACTACTGAAATCCACGACCCCTTTTTCTTTGATAAACACTCCATGGTGTAAGAAATGGCAGTCTCGCATAAACCCGATCTTGCCACGCAGTTGGCACACAAATGAGAGTCGCACCCATATCAAGTGGTATTTTTAGTTCGGACGATTTGCTGTGCGTACGAATAAAGAGTTCATTTCAAGGTCGGGTTCCACCAGATCTAGTTTCCTCCACTTTATAGTATGCGTGTGCGTGCGAGTCTTCAAGATTCCAAAAGGCCTTCCTCCTCCTTGGATCCACAGTCCCGACTGGATGAACAAAGTATGGAGGAGAAGTAAGTTGCTCTGAGTACACACCTGTATTCGAGTGCCGGAACTTTGATTTTCTTCTTACCAAAATGTTTGTGTTAGGTAAACATATTTTTAATGCTCAGTTGATTTTTTTCAGTTCTACAGGTTAAAAAAAATGAGTGCTTGGGCACCAAACATCTCAGTAGAGGTGAGAATTGAGTGAAAGAACTCAAATCTGTTGGGGATTAGAAAGACCCAGAAGAATCAGATCGTTCAGTTGTAGCACCCTTTCGGTTCCTAGCTGCCATGGCAACGAAGGGCTGGGATACTGCCAGGTTGCCCAAGCCTAGATGGGATCCCAAAATCTGGACATGTACGACCCATGAGTCTGTAGTCAGAGATATCTGAAAAAGGAAGAGGTAACAATAGTTCTGTAGAATAAGTTCGTTTTGTACCATCTCGTTTCCACAATACATGTAAAACGAGCACGACTGTAAGAGAGATATCAGTGTACTCAAGGTAGTGCAAGACGTTCATAGAGACTTTCCATACAATGTTTGGTTAGATCTTTACAGAAATTCCTGTAGTAAATGATATGGAGGATCCTTCCATTAATTCATGTTCTGATTAGTCCAGGCTGAACATTTCTCGTCCTTTCCCTGCGCAATTATTTCGGTGAATTCACACTAGAGCGTGATTCTTGGCTATCTGTTATATCTCCTCGTTGGGCAGGGACCGTGTGATTATACGTAAACTCATGAGATTTCAGATGCGCTTCTTTTTGGTATTAAAAATTGCTTGCCTCTTGCCTCACACGGTTTTGATGTAAGGAAACACCAGATGATAACCGCTGGACAGAACACAAGCATTCTTGAGAAATGCACTTCGGCAGGTTATTTATTCGACTAGAATTCGTTGATGGATGTTGCAGCAGTGTGTCCGACTTCCAATTAACAGTAAATTTTAACCGCACATGATTGCATCCAGAAGCCGAGTCAAGGGGATAGATCAATAATGACAACTAAATTGAACCCATTGCTTGCTCAGCATTCCAGTGGATGCATAATCACAAAAATGCCAAAGAAAGGTCATATAAAAATCATTTGTATGCTTATCTGATGAGATCAAATATGGACCAGCATCCATGTCTTTATGAACTTCTTAGCAGCTGACGGCATCTTTTGGTAGACGCCAGGCTAAATTTGCTTTTCAAGGCCTAATTATTCAATATTTATATATACGAAATGACGGTCTCCAGTTTTCAAACAAGAATGTTTGCCAGTACTGTGTTTTCTGTCTGTTGTCCCGAATTCAGGTTACCTTATGATGAAATTAAAAGCTGGGGCGAATCGTTTGATCTTCTGATGCAGTGTCCTGGTAAGTTCAGTGGTACTACTTGATAAGGTTTTCAAATTCCACACAAATTGTTTGCGAGCACTTGCGTCGGTCGTCGGGTCAAGTCAGAATTCCTTTACTGTATTCACGGAATATACTACCTTGAACCTTGTGGCAATGCCTTGTTCAGGCAACTGGAAAATACGTTATCCGAGGGGATGCGTCAATTTCAGGCGCTGTTGTATGCAACGTTTTTTGGAAACCACCGCGGAGAACAAGTCCCTTGGACCTAGTTTGGTTTGCCGTCTAAAAGGTCATCAAAATCAACCTTAATTAGTTGGGACGTAACCAAAAATAGCCCTCCTCCAGAGATTGTGTGCCTATTAAATAATACCGTCGATGTAATTAGCCGTATTCCTCGAAAAACCAATAACCATCCAACGGCACACTGATTTCCCCACAATTGGTAACGAAACGTCAGCAAGCAAATTGCGAAGCATAGCGAACGGATCGATAGCCATCCGATTTACCAGCAATTAATCCACACGAGCTATCAACATTTCACTATATTGCCAACGCGCAGGTATTTACGTTGCATGTTTATGAAATCTCGTGTTTGTAAATCATCCTGTGAAGTCAGTCAGGCCGATCGCTACTACCGCAGGTTATGTCGTGGCGCCAAAATTCAGACCAAGGTTTCAGTTGCGTTAGTCGCACTTAAGGGTCCTGTTGCGTGGTTTATATACCCAGGTTCCCTGGAGTCAGCCATTTAAGAGCAGTTTGACTATTTTCTTGAAGGGCCTATTGGTCCAAAATCGGTCCTGAGGAGAAAAATGAACAAGAAAAATTGAGATTATCTGAGGCTTTAAACCATACTTCAGCCATGTTTATATTGCGAAATTGTGACAAACCGCCGATAGTTGACTGGAACAGATTTCAGCATGCATTCAACAGTTTGTTTAATTTTCATACTATTTATGATTCACCTGATGATGGATGCCAAGTGGCAAGTATAAGGATTACCTTTCAGCCTGATGTTCTAACAATGGTTGGCTTCACTTTACGTGACGAAATCCATAAATGAATACGCGTATTATTTGTGTGCCCTGTCCAGATTTGAAGCTGGCCATTGCCTTGAAACATTTCAGTTTGAGGACAACCTTTGTAAACTCAGCACGTTGTTCTAGATTGTGGACGGTACGTTTACTGCGGAACAGGTGAGGCAGCTATTAAAAAGCGAAGATGTTATCAAAAGAGATAGGACTCAGGATCAATTTTTCTTCCCCTCCTACGTGTGCATAACTGCGGATAAATGAATAGATGGGAAACTTTCCAGATTTGGTTCATTTCTCATGGGCTAAATTATTGTAGAGCACTGTCGAAAACTCTCTGGCCGTACAGTTGAATTTACGGTAGTATAATGTGGTGGATATTTACCGCTTATGAAAGCAACATTACAGGCTGTCTATTATCCTCTGATGACCATTTTTACAACGGAACGTTTGCCCTGCGCAGAGTTTACTTTCTCGTTTCCAAAGAGTACTCATTTCAAGTCAGGCAAAGCTCCATGAGATTTGGAGTTAACTTGGATGGGATGCGTAAAATATGACAGCCTCTGTCTCCGCAGAGGAGTATTGGCGACATTCTGTGGAATGAAACGGTTATTCGTGAGACACAACTTATCTGATTGCTCATGCTTTTTGTCATTAAGGTGTGCGTATCAACGTAAAATCGGTCACACACTGTAACAACTGTTTCTATTTCTGGGACTAATATGTCAGTATAGTCGTCAAAAGGTAATCCTTTGCGTGATCGGAGGTAAACAGCTACCACGAATACGAACGTCAGGAGAACAGAAGTCGGCATGTTATTCAGTGAGAGACGAAGAAATGCCGGATTAATCCATGAATGGCGAACGAACCAAATGCATTTGCCTCTAGGTTATACATCCTGCTAATCAGTAACATGTTTGTTTGATTCTTTTGCCAAGCAGTTTGTTTTACTGCAGTTGATTCAATAGATGAATGTGAAGTTTTCCGCCAAGATGGATGTATCTTCCTGTGGGTGCAGAAGAAAAAAACGACAAACGCATCTACATATTGATTCCGTAGGGCAAAAATGAGAATAGCTCTCGCTGGAACCATAGCAAACAACATTTAACGCATCATACTTATTATAGTACGAATTAACTTTTATTTTTGAGCCTCTCCTCGTTTTCAACCTAAGTGCTCATCAAACTCAACCATATATAGTCTGTGCGTTTAACGCAGCCATTCAGAGTGAGCTGCTATTCCCCCTAGAATTTCAACGCAAAACAAGCTATACATTATCCTGGAATAGTAAGTACCAGAGTCCGGTGTTCGGATTTTTCCTAAAGATATTCAAGTTGCCAATTATCCGCAAGACTCGCTTCCTTCACTACCAGATCTAACCCATAAAAACAATGGAATATTGAAGGCGTTGGCCAGTTTTCTTTTGAATATCAACCTACCACGAACGCTAAACAAAAACTTATAAGTGTAAGAATGCTACTCAGGACATGTTTAACAACAATGTGTGAAGTTCAGCGAAGACCAGCAGCTGCCAACTTTGAGACTCAAAAACATTACAGTGCGATCACAGCGAGACAGAATTTTCAACCTAGGTTGCGAACAAATCAAGTAAATTCATGCAAACGCTTCTCCAAAAGGTATCCACTTTAACAAATACAAAAGTAATGCAAAACTAATGTTTAGCAATAAGCTTTTCCCAAAGTTCTACCGATTCATGTAGTTTTGATTATTGCTAATTAAAAGATGCCGAGTTGAAATCTACAATCTAGCCAACAACAGATTGCCAATATTCACTTATGCAGTTAGCAGCTTTTAAGGAAATTAATCGGATCGATTGTCCATCAGTGTAAGGATTATGTTATGCATACCAGCAGCAAATTACTTATTGCCTACTTTTATTCAAAACCTTCAGCTGGACGCAAAGTGTTCCGAGAATTCCTACGATCCGAATATAGCGAGGAAAACATCATGTTCTGGCTTGCTTGCGAAGAGTTAAAACAGGAAAGTAATCCGGAACTGGTTGAAGAAAAGGCGCGAATGATCTACGAAGATTTTATATCGATTCTGTCACCAAGGGAGGTGAGCTAAATTCACATTATATCGCCCAATTATGGTAGAATAACTTGCATTTGCATGGAACGTTACCCTTGTTTAACCCTCAAACGTTTGGTTTCATCATTTTTGATATTCATTTTCTGCCTAAAACAACACCCTATCTAAACGTGGACATTCGCATAATCACAAAAGCTGTGTCAGTGGTTTTTGATCGCAAGGTAGAGTTGTATCTCAAGCATAGAGACAAGTTCATTGAGGTTCTACAATTTCTGGTTTCTTTTAGTGAGTTGAAATATTTCTAAAGTCGTGTGTTGACAAGAAAACTTGCGTACACATTTTTTAAGACGCCAGCCCTCAGCCAGCTCATGAAGGGATATTAAATCGTGCCTTCGTAAAAGGAGCATTTAATGTTAGTCTGTTAGTTATCTGTCTTCCACTGATCAGGGATACGTCACACATTTTCACCTGTCCAGTGATCTTCTGATACAGTGACCTCACCGATAAAGGTCATCATTTATTGTATGGGAATTGTGGCTGTAAATGATATGAATTTGAACCCTTTTGACAAATATACTAAGTGAAACATGAAGGGGAACGTATGTTAAGGAATCAGTTATCCGTATCCCTCCTGACTGCATTATGGTACAAAGTATATTGAAGCCAATGAGGTGTTCCTAATCTGTGATAATTGCTTTGTATAATGAAATACGTGAACTAGTTTTAAAATCCAAAGTTCATCTTAAATTTCTGCTCAAATTGCAGAAGCATGTCTAACAACTTACTATCTGCAATAGTAAAACATTGTATGCTCAAAAGGAATCTACTTAAAAGCCTACGTCATCCTTCGCTGTTTGAGTTCTTTGAACACCAAAGGCCGCAATCATTTGAACACAGGTTTGGGAGACTGTCCAGTGTTCGCAACCTTATTACATTACATTCGCTGCGAGTACCCTTTTTGAAAATCAGCGCTGTTATCGAACGTTGAAGTTTGAGTAAAGATGCACACTCGTACTCCTCTGAGAATGAAGGGGGCTTCATATTCGGAGTCCACCTTCTTGGCAAATGCCAGCAGTCCGAACTTGAGGTAGCAGGTGGGCAAATGAATTTTTGTTCGTACCACAGTGTCCAGCGGGCCACACGTTCTCCGTATCTGGATATCAGAGTGGTATTTTCGTCCTTTATTTTTTAGCCAACGAGAAGTCTCTGAGAACCAGCCAAACGTATCAACGTATCTTTCGTTTTCCGATCTTTCGGATCCACTAAACATTTCGGCCTGCACAGACACTCAGTTTCACCTAGCGTTGGAATGATGCGCCATGTTGGGTTGTAGTTTCGATCAGGGGAATCCATGGTCCTATCATGGATTCCCATGGGCGGTACCCCAGGGAGAAGTCCCGGTTTTTAGCAATGCCTCCTGGATATCTATTTCCACCGGCCCTTAATATCCAACATCAGACGATCCGATGTGGGTTGGAAGAGTTGGTTTTGACAGGTTTGTTTGAATTCTGAATCAAATAGCTTCTAAATGGCCAGGCAAGTTGTGCGAATTTTGCGCACATTTGGAAAGCTCAATAAAAAGTAGCAGCGGACAAGTACATGGTCGAGTTCATGCAGATATAACGGAAGGATCACCAGGTATTGATCGACTCTCGCCACCAGTAACTGACTGAAGCGTGGTCTATTTGTATTCAAGTGTGGTTTGTTAGTGGGCGCTATTTATTCAAGCAGTTTCTGCTGCTAAGGCAGTCGGTGCGGCTTTACAACAGTCTGTGATTGTCACTGAAGTCGGACGCACAGAATCTGCAGATGAGCGCAAAGCGAACAACGCGGTTAGTCTTAGTGCTGGGACCTGTGGACAGAAAACCCCTAGGAATGTGGTGGGGTAGAAGAGGGAAAACCTGAAAGTGTAGGAAAGGAGACGACGGCAGTGACGTGTTTTCCCTTACTCCCCTCACTGCATGCAGCAAGTGAGGCAACCCGGCTGATGACACCTCGCTACGGCTGATGTGGTATGACAATAATTTTGGTTGTGACGTTTGCCGTTGTACACAGGCTGGAATACTGTACTGGTGCACGCACCTAGGCAAGACGATATTAGGGTCCTCAGCTAAAGCCTTCGGCTCAAACTTTTGACTGAAATATAGCGGAGTTGGGCGAAAAATGACCATACATTAACTTTTTTCTGATTGTTGTAACAAATTGTGTTCTATCATTTTACGCACTTTGCGGAACCAGTATAGTGATGCCACTTTAAGAAAACGTGGACCAAACAAGAGCAGCCGTTTAAATTCCGGACTGATATGGCACATGCTTTGGTCCTCAGTAGAATAGAGTGAATCAACTGCATTAAGCACCTAGTTCGGCAGACTACTTCTGGAAAGTTTCAATGGATCATGTGGTCCACAAGCAAAAGATGGTTCATTTAAATACCGAACTACACGGCGTGTTTTAGGTACTGTGTGGGTAAAGTGATATACGTTATTACTATTGCTTGCGAATCGAACCTATTAGTTGTATCTGGAGTGGATTTTCCCCAGCTGGATAATGTAACAGCTGGTGGTGAGAAAAAGTCGCATTACCAGTAGTCAACGCAACGCATGTCTCATGTTTCCTAGAGGTCCATGTATAGTTCATAGGTCAAACCATGTAGTTTTATCATGACTAGCCACATATCCGGTCAAGGTCAACCTGACATCTTTCATGATCTCCAAACTCGATCTCACTCAGTTTTGCAGATCGACGACCAACGTATCATCAGCCTACTTATTGCCAAAGCATTTTATTAATAGGACCGGATTGCTTGGGTAACTGCAACAAGTAAACCGACTCTTCATCGCAACCCACACCATCCTCTACATGAATGGCGAACCGGTAGCAATAGAAGTGTATATGATATTTATTAAGTGACAACAAATTGCCTGTGTTCATATAACACCTAACCGATAGTGATGCACAAATTTAAACAACCAATATAACTACATCATATGGGGATGTAAATCAGGCATGAACTGGCCGAAATGAACAAAATGACATAAGAAAGTTTGGAACAGGTTGCTCAGCTTAGCTGATAGTGTGTACATGATGCAAAAGTAAACAGAAAAACGAACAGCAGGCTCATTCATTTTACCAGTCAGGCTGATGACGGCCTTCTATTATGATGAATTAAAGCGACAACATGTCTTCCTTTACAACCGTCAGCTCCGCAGAAGGTTAAATCGGTGACAAGGGTTGTTGTAGAAGTTCGAATGACAGGAAAGTTCTGCCTTAGACAGACAGGAAAAAAAGTTTAAAGTGCTGTAATTATTACGTCTCATATGTGGAGTGTTCACTGCATTGTAGATTACATGGCTTGCTCATGTATGTGAAGAATCGCTTGAAAATAATATGCGAGAAGTGCCACTTATGCCAATAGTGTAAGACCTGGTAATTTTTTTCATAACAAATCCCCAACGATAAACTCGTCTGGGAACATCCTCTTGCGGGTGGGGCCGTAGATTGTTTTGTCGTCCATAGATAGACCGGTAATAGATAGGCCCGCACGAAATGTATGTGATGCGTCGCAAACGATAAATCAGTGGACTGATAATAAAGTCACAGACGTTTGGCATCTTTTGCCCTTTTGGTTTGAAGCCCAAACGCACAAGTATTTATGCTAATTGAGTTGTTGTAACTGATACTGACCAATAAATGCCAACCAAGCGTACGGGCAAAACAATGAATAAGATGCCTCATTAGCAGATTACCCGGGCAAGAGTGATACGGTCAGTGGTCGTACCGTTTCTTCTGGTATTGTGGAAAAGTAAAACTAGACGTGTGTTGCGAGACAGTGAAATACTCACAGATTATTGCACTTCGCTACCTATTCATGGAAACATGATGAAAGTTGTGAATCAGCCTAGCATTTTGGTGGAGGCTAAAAAATATACTTCGCTTCAGACTAATTCTAGCCACTTGTTGAGATGTTGACAGTTTGATCTATAGAGTCATCAACCATTCACCGATTTTACAAAGTGCAAACGTCAAAAACCGATGTAGACCTTACGCAGAATCGAGTTTTTTTATTTTATCGTACATCGCATAATTTGATAATGTCGTTGCAAGAATAGTCCACGTTGCATCGATCGATGGGTAGCTGGTTAGCTAAAAAGCCATATGCAAACATACGGGAAATGACTGTGTCTGGGTGTTTTAACTATTCGCAGTACTTATCCTTCATGCAAAGAACATTTATAAGGTGGACTGAATCAACTCCTCGTTACGTGCAAATACCGGAACTCTCAACTCATTCGCATTTTGTGGCATCAGGCTTGAAACCTAATATTACTGGAGCGTATCTAGAAACAGTCTAAATGCTAGGAAGAACAGAAATGGTGACATTTTCGCCAAAGCAATGGCCTAAGACTTACTTGGAAAGGAGGAATGATTATGAGAGCAAAATCTCAACAATGAAGCTATTCTTACAGTCAGTTTTTGATGTTTTATTTTAAAACTTTGTATTTATATTTTGGATTGTTCTGAACCACAAAACCCAGAACTCTGTAATTCAATTTTGGGGACTAGTTGCATATTCATCCTAGGTGGGATTTAATAGTGTTATTAGTAGTTGGCATATTTACGCCAGAATGTGGGATTTTATCTCGGCAATGAGACTGTGATACATCAGATTCAAAGTCGACGTCACCTGAAAGCAAACCTGTTGTGATTTCTGACTCAACGTTTTATAACCCAAGCAGGCACAAGTTGAAAACTCACAATCTAAACTTCTCCTAAAGACGGGACGATCTGCAAGTCTCAGACCAACACCACTGAAAACGAAAGCGCTGTGTTCACGTAGGGGTCCGGTGCTTCGCCAGCATATTATCTTGGCATATCCGTTTCCGGTGTCGACAGTGGTAAGCAAGACAGATTGGAACTTACAAAGATATAACCTCAGGTGGGTAGCCGATAACCATCAAAGTAAAAACTAAATCTGTCAGAATTTGCAAAACTATCTTCGAGTTTCATTTCGTTTTTTTTGACAAGTGAAATCAGACTACTAATAGCACTACTATGTATATGCTGGTGAAATTAACCAAAACGCCAAATAATTTCAATCAGGCGGTTGATTGCAGAATACGTGAAAAGCAACCTTTTTTAAAGTTAAAGGATGGAAATCGATCGGAATAAGTACAGTTTGTAATGATAGAAAGCAACCACCGTTTTGTACCCATCTTAGTAGACGCATGCTTGCACACTGGAAAAATGTCAAATTAGTGGTATTTATGCCTCATTGACAATGAGAACAAGATAATCGCACCATAACCATACGAACAATATATATCGGTTCACAAGCTTGCAGATAGCAGTTGGTAGACATACACATAGTAGGAGCAACGAACAAAATTTTTCGGAACCACAAAAAATTTAAAAACCCGCTGGTGCCAGATGTGCGAGGAGAAGTGGCTAAATCTGCAATGTGATTTCTGGCTGATTGTTTGCAAAAACCAACACGTCTCAGATTATTTGATGCATGTGCTCTTAATTTGAAGCAATTTACGCTAATTAGCTTGCATATTTAATTTCAAACACAACAGAACGCAAATTTTCCAACCCCAAAGTGTTGACATTAGCGAATTTTTTATCATCGTCTCTCAGGACGGAATTGAAGTTACTCAAATCTCAATGAAACTAATGTAGTGTAAACGCGTACATTTTTGCGCTTTCGTAGCTTTGGGAAGGATATGCAGCAGCATGAAAATCGCTTGAGTGAAGAAAAAGCGGGAGCATCTCGGAAAAGCAACAGGTGAGATGTCCCTTGGTTAGAGTCGACGCAACCGACAATTTGACAAGGCAATTTTTTAGGTCGTTTCGTCCACCAACCGTCTGAGATGATTTTGGCTCGTGAAAGTTGTCTGACGACTTGGGATATCGTTGATAGATTCGGAAATGACGTACCATACCGACCAGAACGAATGACGATATCGCACCTTTGTTTACATTCCAGTGTACGTAAAATCTTAAACTGTAGAAAGTTACCTCCCGACAGCCTGCATGACCAATTAAAAGGGGAGAAAGTGTTTCAAAGTTCTTTGCATGCTTGCTTCAACTATGCGCATATCTTTGTACTTGGTAACAGCGAATCCATTTGATTCTACAAAGGAGGCTCAAATATACACCGTTCGCGAACTGAAAAGAAAATAAATATATTGGAACAAGAGCGTTTAAAGTTACAGTTAGAGTCCCATCCCTGTAATTAATAATAGAGTATTGAAATGAATTTCAATAAGAACTCGGAGGGGACCCGCGTATATTAATTTAGTTTTAATAAAGGAGGTACCACGCATTTTGAAGTGTTCTCTACATCAGGTAATTGTATTTATCTGCAACACCGGATCACCTGCAAGAATCCGTTCCTTGAAACCGGAATTTCTGTTACTGAGGATTCGACGGAGCACAAGCGAACGATCAACAACCAATAAACTCACCCGAGCTACCAATATTTTAATAAAGGAGTACCACGCATTTTGAAGTGTTCTCTACATCAGGTAATTGTATTTATCTGCAACACCGGATCACCTGCAAGAATCCGTTCCTTGAAACCGGAATTTCTGTTACTGAGGATTCGACGGAGCACAAGCGAACGATCAACAACCAATAAACTCACCCGAGCTACCAATATTTCACCACGTTGCCATACACGTCCTACTTTACAGGAAGAAATCTTTTGTTATATCAAATAAGATTTTGGTTTACCCAGTTTGCAGACATGATTTCAGCCATTTAAGACCAGCGAGATATCAGCTCTACAAAATGCCAGAATTGGGTTGATGGACACCGTGGAATGGGGCTGAAAGCAGTTACTTGGGGTGTCATGCGGATCACTCTAAAGTGTGTTAACGCGTTTCCCGGAACACTAGAATAAGTAGTAGTTGAACACATGTAATTTGATGGTCGCCTGAGGTCGTGCAATGCTGCTTTCCGCCTCGTTCTCCGCATTTACCTAATTAAACCCCTTTTCCTCGAGTAACGTGGGACCAAAATATGAACCTGCTTTACTGTGTTTCATTCCATGCTGAAGAAAATCACTGTGAATTGATTTGCTGAAATTAGAAATATCGTGGATGAAATAGTTATGCTGCAATTTATCCTTCACAGACCTATTGGGGGTGTCGCCACCGGACTAATATTACTTGCTTATCCATGCTAAACAATCCTCCTCAACTCCATTTACAGTGGAATGCTTATCCTATATGACGTGGGTATGCCGTAACTTGGCGTCCTTCTGAGGTGAAGCGGTGTCACACTAGAAACCCTGTAAATTTTTGAATGAATTCTAAATTGAATAATTGTTCATCTGATATCCCGACAAATGTTTCGTCTTTAAGTCTTTAAGTCCTCGCCTTTATTTCTAGGTAACTAATAATAAGTTGATGGCTGGTTGTGATTCAGATTAGGGAATACAAATTTAGTTGCAAGATGTCACCTCTAAACGAAACACCAGCCTGTTTTATGTCTGGACTGCTTGGTGGATCTGGCCAGCCTTACCTGTACTTCTCTATGATAGCAAACAAGACTTTAGCCAGGAAATGTACGGGAGTATCGGTGGCTTGTGAGCGTTTACCGCTAAGTGAACAGATTAATTTGACCTGTTCGCCTAGGGTGGCAATTATCTGGGAAATAGGTCCCTTTTTTGGTTCCATTCAGGTGTCTATCTGAATCCGAACTGTTCCACATCCATGGAGTTGCATTTAGCCTCTGTTGCATTAAACCAGATATCGAGACAGCTCATATTACCCCTTGCAGCCCCAAATGACAGTGGTGGAAATATTTTACTGCTGCACTTTAGAACTTCTACCCGGTCAGCGGTGGGCTTGCGTTACTCTGTGCGAAAGCTGTGAACTGGCCGGCCAGCTTTATTTGTTTCAGCGCTTCTGATAATCTACAAATCATGCTATCTCATCCGTTCCAAAACGCTGAAAACAGTTATAGCCCCAAGCAAAATACGCCCAAAAATTCAAAGCAAACAAAAGTGTTCATGAACCATCACTCAGGCATTCAGCAGAATTTCTGCGAAGTGGCCCTGGAATTTTCTCTGTATATCATTTGACAGGAATATAAGCACTGTACGCAAATTTTTCACGGGTAACCTGATAAGTTTTCCGCTGCTTCTTAAGCATCATTCTCTTACTTGTCTGGTTTGTCTTCTAGTGGAAGCCTTTAGTTCGTTACGAATGAATTTGTGGTGAAAACATTGGTTGCTGGTTAAAGTTTCTGGAATCAACTGAAGTCTAGTTTATATATTCACTGACCCACATTAGAAGCATTATATTATTCAGCTTAAGCAGCCAGAGATTTTCTGATTTTTACAACGTGACGGCTAGGTAGTGATATGCTGGACTGTGCTTCAGAAGACAAGCAAACAGCTGACACTCCCCTTCGACTCATATTTAGCGAAATTGTCTGCGTTAATTTTCACCGTTCATTATGTATGCTATGTGTGATCTATTCCGAATTTCTTTCAGGTTAGTCTTGATTCCCGTGTGCGTGAAATCATCAACGCCAATATGATTGAACCCACCCCGCATACTTTTGACGAGGCCCAAATGCAAGTCTACACCCTAATGCATCGAGATTCCTACTTGCGATTTCTCAACTCAAAAATTTACAAGGATTTACTGCATCGTGCCTGTCCTTTTTTATCCAACTCCAGTCTGGACTGACACGTTCACACCCACTTTCACTTTCCAGCGTTTCTCTCCCTCTCTTCTTGACATCCCTCAATATTTACATTTTGAAATTTTTTTCAGGGATTTGCTGATTTTGTGCAATGTTGGCCATGTTACTTAGACCTAAACTGAGATGACTTATGACATTTAACCGGAACTGAAGCAGTTATGGGGAACTCTAGATGAGCGCCATAAACCAGCGTTTCTCAACCCGTAAAACCCTCGAGCCGTAGGCAGTAATTTCGGTTTTTTTAGGGGGTAGGTGGCTGGCTCTACCTATCGTCCCTTATTCACATTTTAATTACTGATTCCACAGGTGATAGCATCCTTTCACGTTTGGATGCGGGTTGGTGATGTAACCGAAACACAAAGAGTATGATAATAGATTGTGAAACCCTGCCGCGCTCGAATGTGATAATGAACGCGCTGTAAAATAATGTATAATACAGTGTTTTTCATCCACTGATAGCAGGCTGTCAATAATCCTTCATCAACTTCACCTGAAGCGCTTATGTGTGAAACCGTTGGACAAATCGCCATGACCTAAGAGGTTACGTGTTAATTACATGAGTCACAGCTGTTTCATCCCAGCATTTTTTCTTTCCTTCTCTTCTCCTGAGAATATATATAAACCAACCCAGTGTCAGATTGCACCTCGGTGTACGTCTGTACCAACGATGAAATGATATTTTGTGTGCAAAACCTGTCTACTTTGAACTGGTTCCACAAGTTTTTTGGTGAATAGTGGTCCTTTCTGTATGATTTCAGCTGACACGGAGTATTCCTACATAACCGTGAGCTCAATTTGCGGACACTGTTACTCTTCTCCCATCCTACACTTTCTTCAGACATGTGATAACATGAAATATCCCGACAGTTATCGAAGGTTGATCATTTGTCGCCGCGTCAAGAACGAAAAATAGTAAAATGTACTATACAAAACCACGTGATATCTACGCAACAAAAGTTACCATTCATTGCAACTAACTCCTTTGAATACATGTTACAAATGTGATAGAATATATCCTAATTTTGTCTCGTTTTGTCACTGTCAGTTCTTTTCATGTTGAACTGATTTCCTGTGTTTCAGTGTTATGAAAGCTAATTGCGAGATTGTTACACCAAAATTGGACTTACTGTCCTGCCAACCTTTCTCTAGTCTCTTTATATAACGCGTCTGCCAACCCTTACTGAGAATAGCTCCTACTGCCCTCATAAAACGTTTCAAATTATTGTGAACAGCAGAACCATCGGACAATCTGGTATCCTTTATCTCCTTGCCAATTCTCCAATGTGTATAAAAGAACAATTTTGAAGAACTCCGGATAGTATAAACTGATGAACCCTTGAAGTTTTCGAATCAGTGCATTAAAAAATTACCTAGTTGTGTGACGTTTAATTCCTGAAAACATTTGCACTTCTCAGAGGGAGCCACTAGAGGTGATGTCTCATATTAGAAAACTGAACTCTGAAAGACTAGTGTGTTTCCTACATCGATTCAAACCATGCGTCATATATAAAAACGGAATGTGAGAAAAAACAGCTGAAGGTGACTTTGATGGTTTGACCACTGTTCAAAATTTACGTTGTTGAGTAGGCGTATCTGAAGGGATCAATTATGCATGATTCCTCAATCAGAATGTTTTAATGGTTGCTGGATTTCCAATTCTGTATACAAAACACTTCCATACGTGACGCACTGTATACCTCTATGAGTTGAATAGTTCAAATTCTACGATCACAGGATGCACTTTGTATGCTTTCAGAAACTCTATTCCGTGCAATAATCTGACACTGATACGTAATATTGTATCTGACGGGGAATTGTAACACTTCGTAGCAATAATTAAATCAATGGCATCTGACTAATTGTCCCTAGCCAATGAAGTTATACCTGAGAATCTTCCCGAAAAACGGATACAAGGTAGAATAAACAGTGACAATTTTTGCACCCGCAAAGTCACAAATCAGCAAGCATACCTCAACCTTTCTGTTGCACATTGTGAAAGTTCCAAATGTGATTACCATCACAATTATCTACCGCAAACAACTTGATGAATGCATGAAATTTTTCTTTAAATGTTTTCATCGAACGGAGTTTGTTTTACACATAGCCACGTGAATTTGTTACCCTTGATGCAAGCTTAAAAGGATCAGGATACATGTAGGGACATTCTGGGAAGCACCCGCCTACCTGAGCATAACGGCACTAGCACTGTTTTAATGGCATCTCGGCACCAACTTATGCCACACATTCTTCAAGGTCCACTGAGCCCTTCATGAAAATTGTCGTAACAGTGCTCTCTGGTAAATAATCGACAGTGCGACGGGTTTGTCTGTGTGGATAATCAGATGGCTATCAATAATTTTAAAGTTTAATGTTATCGTCATCCATTAGTACCAGCATAGATTCACTTATTGGTTGGAAGTTGTTAGAAATTCATCTTCGAAATATCACTAGCGCTTCTGTACACACTGCAATTTTCTATGCTGGTGACCGATGAGTTCAGTTTCGCCCAGGTATGTTTCAGGGTAAACAGGTCTGTGTTAATGCTAATGGACCGATAACATGGTACAGCCTTTCAAGGGAACCTCATGGGATATGCTATTAAAAGACGTTTGGCTTCCGAACCTCTCAATCCTTTACTTTGGTATTTCCGCATGTCGATCAATCGGCAGTCAGAATGTTTCATCGGCGGAACTCAAGAATAAAAAATATTTATCCGAAAGCGTTTCCAGTAGCGAAGTTTCGGCCATCCCCAGGTTTAATTTCCGTTGTTTAACTATCCATGGATGGGGTTGACTGAGCAATCCATTGAGTTACACTCACAAATGTTACCTTGTTCACAGTCTACACCACTCGAAATGAATTGTTTGGAACCCCAGTTTTTGGAATTTAGTCCAGTCAGTGAATCCCTGGGATTGGGCACAAGTCTTAAGTGGGATTTGTCTTCTCAGTACTCTAGTGCGCCATAATTATGGTGTTCGTGGTTTATTCCAATACTGTTTTGAGGAAAACACAAGAGACGGATCCATCCCACCTTTGTGCTCGTGAGTATATTGCGGTTGTTTTGGATGTATCTACATTGCAGAAAACATTTGCGCATACTGTTTATCGGGCGCCATGTCTAAGGATATGTCGAGGTATAGGGCTTTTGTGAGAGAGCTCCTGTTGTGATAAATTGGGCGCACTTTGGCTTCTGGTAATACGGATATTTACTATATATCCACCTACGAGGCAATCCTTAAACAGCAACATCCACATTTCGATTGCGTAATCATCCTTCGGTCAGTAGACCTCTGGAGCAAAGAACATGCTGGTTTCAGCAACTTCCATTCCGAGTGGTTCATGTGCAAAAAGTTCTTAGGTCTTGCTTTTCTAATGTACATTTTATGGACCACTAAGTAATGCGGAGACGTGCGCCTTCCAGAATATCTCCTGATCACGGGTACCGAGCGTTTCCGCCTCTCCGTGAGTCAGCGTCATTGCGTTTTGTATGGTGCTGTGACACTGGCCTAAAATTTATCCTTTAGCTTTTGCAAATAGTTCAGGTAACTCATTCAACTGTTGCTAAGCTTTTCACCGCGTTGGCAGATGTGACACCTGTTATACCTCAATAAGGACTGCGAATTACTTACCAGCCATTGCAGATATAAATGTGTCGTCTGTGTAACTGTGTTTCACTTGGCATCATCCTTATTCGAGAGCACTACACCATGAAAAGGTTGTCCCGGTCAAGCAGTCAAATAAAATGTTTCATGGTAATAAACTATCCGGGATGCTTATGATGATGATTCTGGCTGACGATTGCTTGGTCACACGATAAAGACCCTTATGCAGGTAGGTAGCAGCCATTTAGTAATCAACCAGCTGTTGACGAAATTCCATTCATATGATTGGCCAACGGGAATTCTAATTTAGCTTTCTTCGACTACTTTGTCAAATGTCTGGGACAGTCAGTCTACCATACTTTCCTCAGCTTGCTCACCTGTGTTTCGCCTGAAACCTTACCAAGGTTGCCAAGAGAGTTCTTTGAAGTAACTACGGATAAGCTCATTAGAACAGATAGGATTATATACTTACCAGCTGAAGTTTGTGCGCCAAATACAAAAGCAACTTATCCGTACTGACGTATTTCCCGTATGAACAGCCCGTATCCTGTCCCCCTAAGACCAATTTTACCATTTAGCATCTCAGAAACATTGGTAGAATCGTGTTCCGCTCCTAATTGGTATCACGAACAGACTTTTCTCAAAACACCAGAGTCTTCTGATGTGATGCGTTTACTTGGCCTGCCTCAACCGTCAGTTTACTTCAGGCCATATACCAATTTTTAGTGAGGTACTGATTTTAGTCCGCCAAACATTTATCTTAAATGTTTAACCAACTTTAAGGTTTACTGAATTCAAAAATGGGGTAAGGTTCTTCCCCACTGATGTATGTTTGTATACCAATGCCGCCATGATTACTGAAAGTGACGCATGCGATAAGTATTTATGCGTATACTTTACGGATGTCGAGCGCGATACACAAAATGAAGCATTGCAAGAGTTTGGAAATTCGAAATATTGACCTTATGCAAAAACGTTTGTGAAAGTTACTTTCATCGACTCGGAAGTATCGTCGGTCTAGGCCGGTGATTCTCAGTGGTTCGTCACATAGTTGACGGCGGATTTATCAAGCATGGCTAAATTATTCCCAAACAGGACGAACACTTATTGCGTTGCAAGCAAGAAGACGAACTGACAAAGTACAGTGAGACTAGTTCCCAATAACCGAATTAACAAAGTGGGTGAATTTAAGGCAGTTATTAAGTTCGGCTGATTCATATTTTATTGGCGAATGAATGGAATATATGGAGAAGTAGGTATGTGTTTATCCTTAGATGGAATCTAAGGGCGTGATAGGTGCAAGACGAGAACAACTAATGGAAAGACTGATACCGATTTAATACGTTGTTACTTCTGTTTGCTGATCGTTGCCTGGATACAATCAAACTTTGTGTTTGATGGCGTCGAAGATTGATTGGCTATGCTGTCTAGACGTACGGTTGAAAATAAGGGCTTTATGGCTATCATTTATTTCCATTTTTGAAGCAATTAACAGTACAGAAAAATTTTACGGTGTATTTGTACAAATCGAAACGGTCCTACCGAGTGCTTCTCCCTGGCATTTTAGTTTCTGGAGGTGTGACCACGGTCCTCCTACAGTTCAGGAATCGGGTCTGCTGTCAAAACTCTCTAGTACATAGTCCATGTTCAGCCTCGCCTCATTATTCTTGTCAATGCATGCTCATTAGAAACAGCTTCACAAATGTGGATATAATACAGTATGGTTTCTCAAAGTTAGACGAGACTTCGTGGCTTACACCGTTTACCGCAGTTTTCGTCCCACTTATTCTGTGTTTTATTCCCAGTCCAACATCGCACCCACGATCTTTCACCCTAAACAGTCAACCGAAAAAATTGGATTGTGCTTTGCTTGAGTGATCTTCAGAAAAGGACTGGTCGCTCCTGCCATCTATTCCTCTCTCTTGGATCCATGAGGTCGGTGGGTGTTGAGATTTCTGATTGTTCTGAGAACCACAGATCGCGGTACTGCGTCATTGTGTTCCAATCTGTAGAATAATCATCTCCGAAAATGGCGAAAAATCTAACATACTGGTCATCTCACAGGTTTTCGGTGGTAGCATAAGTAGGTTGTGCACTTGGAAACGTGTCCATACTTGTCAAGTGTATGTGGCCCAACGCAATAGGTATCCATCTTTCGTCACGAAGGAACTGTTGACGAGAATGACGGTTTTTGACCCATGTTCAGCTTTCAACTGCGATGCTGCAGTCGAGACACTCTTCGCAGTGCTGTTTTGAGTCTATCCACATTCTATAAGGATACACGGTGTTTTGTCAATCTCTGTGTGGTTGTTTGACTATTGACTGAAGTGGGCACAAGAAAATTACCACGGGGTTACTAGAGAGTGCTCATGAATATAAATATTATATATATTACAAATATTACAAGT